ATGGCTTTCAGGAAATGAAAATTTACAGAAGCTGCCAGAGCACCTGTTGTGAGATTTTGTTGATCTCACCCTTTATCAGAGAACTCCTGGCATGATAGAAACGAAAAGCCCCCTTTCCCCAGAGGGACATTTTAAATGTTTTTACCTACTTTGATCTCATCTTTATCACTGACAGTAAGTTTTCGGAATGCAGAATTGCAGTAGTAATGTTGGGATTAAATTTTTATTACTGAGGCTTTGAAGCACAAACAAAATTTTAAAAGCCCGTTAGTAATTGGGAATTGTAATCCTGCTGAGGATACAGTTTATGGCTGTAATGACTTTAAAACACAATGAAAATATACAGAAATACTCTGGTATTAGTTTAAAATTGCAGTAAAACTCTTTGCAGGTTTAGCTGTGAAATACAAAGGTGCGAAACAATTTCATCACTCAGAAAGGTATAGTTTATTTAGCCTTCTTTGTGGGAAGACTAAATGTAGTTCATTTAGTTGTTGGTTCATTCATTCACTCACTTATTCATTTAGGTAACACACATTTACTGATTACTGTGTCAGGCACTGTGCCAGTTGGTAAGGATACAAAGATGGGCTTGGGATCATCTTTGCCCTTGTGTGTTTTATTGACACAGTAGCTTTTATCTTGTGTCGGACTGCCTTGAAATTGTGACTCAAATAGCTGCTTGAGTTGAAAATGAACTTTGTTTTTTTCCCACATTGGGAGGAGAAACCATGCCTACTCAGGTAGAGTGTCTAGAGAGGCTAAGGTTTTGATAGTCTTATATTCCATTTTCATTTTAAGGGAGACGACATAGAAAGATAAGTTCTTCATTACGTTGCAGTGTTGGAGCTGCTCACGGCACAGTGGTATCACGAGTCTTAAGGGTGGCTGGGATATGGTTTAACAGAAACACATGGCGGAAGCTCAGGAGTTAATCCCTGCTACGTGTGTTCAGAAGTAGCAGGTCAGAGATGCTTGCTGGCCGGCAGGTCCATAGTGGTCCTCAAGAGGCATTGTAACATAGTGGGTAAGAGCTGTTGGGTCTGGAACCCGATTATCTGGGTTTGGACACTGGATCTGCAGATGCGTGGGACAAACTAGTTAACCTCTGTGTACTGTGGTTTACTCATTTGTAAAATGGAGATGGGAACGACAACACGTTTCTCATAATGTCTTGGCAGGATCAAGTGAGTTAATCCATGGAAAGTGCTTAGGACAGTAGCTGACACATAGGGCTCAGTAAACAGTGATGCCGGTGGTGCTGCTGGAGGAGCAGCGGCAGCACTAGTAGCAGTGGCAACAATGCAGTAATAATAGTAGCAATAGTAGTAGCAGCAGTAGCAACCTTAGCGATAGCAGCAGCAGTGGTTAGTATTGGGGCAGTAGTGGTGATGGTGACCATCAACACCTTATCATCATCATGAATTCCTTTATTCGTACCATGTCACAGTCACAGAAGGCCCATCTATGTAGGGGGGATCAACAAGAGATAGGGGGTCACATTTATTGATGGACTGTATTATTATTATTTTTGCGGTACGCGAGCCTCTCACTGTTGTGGCCTCTCCCATTGCGGAGCGCAGGCTCAGTGGCCACGGCTCATGGGCCCAGCCGCTCTGCGGCACGTGGGATCCTCCCGGACCGGGGCACGAACCCGTGTCCCCTGCATCGGCAGGCGGACTCTCAACCACTGCGCCACCAGGGAAGCCCGATGGACTGTATCTTAAGAATCAAGGAAGAATGTCTTCTTAACACTGATGTGACAACTTTGTATTCTACCTAAGCTGTGTGCCATCAGTGACTATCACCAAAAACTGTGGGTTGGGGGACTCTGTCCAGTAGTCCTGTTACCTTTTAACAAAAAGGCAAAAGGTTACCAGCCCTTAAGAGACCTGCAGCATGGGCTAGGCTGCTGTCCGCTCCCACCTTTCTCATTGTAGTTCCCATCATAGTTGTAGCAGTGCCACCATGGAAGTCACACAGAATGCCAATTTAGTGACTGTGTTCTCACACTTCATTCCCTCTCCTGTAACCCTTCTGTCCAGATTCTCTCTGGACATCTCCACAGAAGGGCAGCGGGGAAGACAAGGGCTGGGGGAGTGTGCTTAATTCAGTGATTCTCAAATGGTGTGCAGTCTGGAGGCATTTCTGATTGTTACATGGGGGGATTGCTACTGTCATTTAGTGGCTGGAGTCCAGGGATGCTGCCAAACACCTTAAATGCATAGGACAGCCTCTCCCATCCCCTCCCCCCCCCCCCCC